GGATAGTATTTATTTTTTAAAATAACAAGCCAAATGAAAACAAGCAAAAAATGAAATAAAAGTAATGACTTTCTACTTCTTGTCTTTTTAAAAAATGTGAGGAGTAAAAAGTACAGATAATTGTTTGAAAATGTAAAAAATAGAAGTAAAAATTAGGCTGAAAAATAATTATTCAAGTAAAGTACAGATAAAAATTCTACTGCCCAGAGAAAACATACAGATTCTACCCAGAAAGGTCCCCAGACTGGGATTTGAACCAGCAACCTTTTCGCTGAGAGGCTCTACCAACYGAGCCACTGTGCTACCTAAAAGCTAATCYGCTAAACGAAAAATGAGTTCTGCCTGTAGATGATTAGCAGAACTATCCCCACCACTGGTTTTAGAAGTACATCCAAATATTACTTTGAGTATTTAAATTTATCCTGTGGTTCATGAAAGGTTTTGCTAACAGACTCAGACGACATGAGTGTGTTATTGAGGCTCTTTCAGATGTGAAGACTGTTTGTATATCCTGTGGTAAGACTATGAAGGCAACATTTTGTCAGTGTGAAAACCACCTCTGCTCTGAAAAGGTCAAATAATTTCAGTCATCTTTCATTTGTTTATTCCATTGTAGGTTAGGTGAAATCTGTAGTTTCAGGTCTCCAGTCACTTTCAGGCTAATTATTTCCATTAGTCTGTGAAGGAGTGTAGGATGAATTCTCCCTCAGTCAGCACCTGGTAAACTCTAAAAATTGTTTTTTTTTAATTCAAGTATAAACAACTTCCATCTGAATACAATATTAAAAAAATGCCAGTGTATAAAACTCTTGTCAGCTGATTTTAGCTGTATTCTAACCTTGTTTGTTTTTAGCAAGACAAATTGCTCATTGTCCAGGGWCAACAGATGAAAAACAGCCTTTTGCTAATTCTGGTGCATTTATAGAAATGTTATTTAATGTGCGTTGTCCCTGACAAAGAAATTGCCAAAATTTTCAGTGATGTAAATTTCTTCTTATCTTTTTCATTTTGAACACAAAGGCTGAGCTTAGAAATTAAAAAATTTTAAAGGGACAAATTATAGTTTAGTTTTTACGGAGCYCACGAGGGGATATGGGGAGATTTTTTTCTTTTGCGTTCCCACACAATACTATTGCGTTACCTCGCAAACGTTTGCATTCCCTCGCAAAATTGTTTTGCCTTCCCACGCAAAAGTTCGTTTTGTATATGAACTGAATTAAATCAGACTTTTATTTTTGAAATATCCAGTTATCAAAACAAGATGTGTCGCCATGAGTTCGTGAAATTAACATTGATGTTGCGTGGCTGTACTATGTTAAAATATCGGCATACGACATATTTCCATGCATGGTTGTGTAATATATTCATTCTGAAGCTGAATTAAAGCAGTAGGCTAACTCGCTAATGGTGAACATGTGAGTTTATTATTAAAACGGCAGGCACAACAGTGATAAAATACTTTTGTGGGGGAACGCAAAATAAAAAAAATCTCCCATGTCCCCTTGTGGGCTCCATAAGTTTTCATCAAAAAAGTTGTCATTTTTTATTAATCACTGATCCCTGCATCCCAAAAAGGAAGACTTGAATAAATATAATGGGTGGATTTCAAATATAAAGACAAGAGGTACATGTATGGCAGGCAGTTCTGTTATTTACAGTTGATATTGATTGGTTTGACACAGCCGTCAACTCAAAAAACACATTTTCAGAACAGTTAATGCAGAGGCCTAAACATTGACACAG